CGATCTCCACGCCGTCAAGGAAGAAGATGCGGCGACAGAACCTATTATGACCACGTGAGTACTTCTCATTACAATTGAAGCACAAACCTTGGCGGCGCCGTTCCGCCATCTCGTCTGGAGTGAGGCGGCGTTGGCCACCCTCGGCGCGGCCCTGCTGTGCAGCCGCCGGAGGGGCCGGGAGCGCCAGTAGAGGCAGCGGCGCTGGTAGAGCCGCCCGGGGCCCGGGTGGGGGCGGGCCGCGCGGAGCCCCCCTTGGTAGGTGCGGCGCCGGCCGCTCGCTCTCCATCAACTCCACTTGGCGTGCCAGACTCATGGCGGCGGCGAGAGTCTCCGGGTGATGAAGGCGGATGGCGTGGCTGAGCGGCGGAAGGAGGCCGCCGGTGTAGAGCTGGATGCGTTGATCCTCGTCGAGCCGGCCTGCGCGCGGTAGGAGCGCCTGGAACCGGTTGGAGTATTCCTCCACGGTCCCGTTGCGCCGGCACTCGGAGAGCTCGAACATCGGAGCAGAGTGGAGGGGGGGTCCGAACCTCAGATTCAAGAGATCCTTGAAGCGCCCCCAATGCGGCGTGCCGTCGTCGTCCTGCAGCTGGATGAACCACAGCTGCGCGGCGTCGTCCAGATGATAGGATGCCATGAGCACGCGCTCCTCCGGCATGGTTCGGTGTTGACGGAAGTAGGCGTCGCACTTGTTGAGGAAGAGCATCGGGTCGGACGTGCCGTCGAAGTGGGGGAAATCCCACTTCTTGTGCTTGGGGTGGAAGTCCTGATCGCGCGGGCCTTCGGAACGACGATCGTCGCCGCCGCCGGAAGATGATGAGGACTTGTCCTTCATGGCCGCCATGTCGGACTTCAGGGTGGACATCTCCGTTCTCATGGACTTGAGCATCTCCATGACTTCGGCGAGGGTGGGTGCAGCCATGGCGGCTGGGATGGTTGTGGGGGCAGTGGAAGATGGTGGTGGGCTAGGGTTTGCTGCGGTGGCGGCTGGTGTCGGAGATGATGGCGCGGCGGCTGAGGAGGCTGAGGATCGATTGGAACGCGATACCAGGTTGTCAAGGGCCTGGTGATCTAGGGTAGCTGGCCCTCGACTACGTAGTTCGTAGTCTCCTGCCGTGTCTTCCAGTAGCAGAGGTTATGCCCCTCACGGCTGCCGGGCTTGAGAACTCGTGAGGGAGAGAGAGAGGTTTGGGTAATTGATCTTGCTTATCCCTTAAACCAACGTGCGGTTACAATATATATATATAAGGTCACGGCCTCAACCAACCAACTAAGACTCCTATAATTAAGGTACTTAAAATAGAAAGCTATTTCTAATTTCCTTCTTAGCCACGTGAGGTGACCGATTCCTGGGCCTCCTCGTGGCCATCTCCTGCGCGTGCTGTGCGTTCGGTACGACGGCGTATATCGCTGGCGCGTCGTGTACGGTTGTACGTACGCCCGTACATGACAGACTATGGTACTTCGAAGTGCGTGTGAACCGTTGATCTAATTGTAAATTATTACATATTACCTGTTCTTATAAGAGGTGATAGAAGAAACACAGAATAAATATAGAAAAAGTCTACTTATTTGTTAGATCTAATATACATGCACGCATGATCTGACTTTGGTATTTGATGCAATAATGTGACATGTGGATGAGATATAAAGGATCTTGCTTTACTAACATGTTCTTTTCTTGTAACTTGACAAAATAAAGATGAAGAGTGATATACCTGTAAAATTAATTTTTTAAATGTGGAACCACTAACGTTATCCGTAATGATCTTTTCAACATGAGTAGATCCATTTTTAACAGCAAAATCATGTTGATGGTATACGTGATTTATTTGTCACTAGCCATAGCACAACACTTTTAAAACCAACATCATGTTAAAAATTAATGTTCTTGCGTACTCAAACATATAGTCCATATGTGACAACAGTAACAAGTATATACTTAACTATATCTATTTTCTTAGAAAAGTGATAATAATTACTTCATATGTACAGTAGCACAGGCAGATGAAATTAAACAAGGAAGCTAGGACGCCCTGGACGAAATTTAATTGTCCTACTAATTCTACAAATCAAGGGCTATGATTTTCTAGGCATATTGTTACTATAATAATAATATAGTAATGGAGAAGTAGTACATGTTAGTGCCTCAGTGGAATGGGGAATGGAATGTGGTTATTAAACAAGTTAGGCAGCTTGTACGAACCTCTTCATCGTCGCTGTGTACTGGTTGTGCCATCATATCTTCATAAACTTTGAATACGTTGAATCTGTGTACTGGTTGTGCCATCATATCTTGAAGTCGAGTTTGGGAGTATTGGGATGGAGTTGTGCTTGGTGCCTGAGCTCAGCCTCTACCTTGTCCACGTCATCAGGGAAGGCATCCTTACAGTCGAGACGTGCCTCGACATAGCATAGCGAAGGGAGGCACTCCATGTCCAAGTCGAGATTGTCACTCCGGGTAGGGTGCCCATCCTTGTAGAACGCCCTGACTGGGACAGTGAACCAAAGGTCGTGGAGGTTTGGCATCACAACAGGGGCCGGCGCTACTCTGTTGCTGCAGCCCGCGTCCTCTGCTTTGGAATCAAATACCATAGCATCCTGTCCTCCCCTCCAGATGCTAAATGAAGCACTAGTCAAGTCATCGTTGGTCACCAACTGGACCATCCAGTCATACAACTTGAGGCTTCTCAACTTGTGGAAGAAGACATCATGGGAAGCAATATTAACTACCACAGCCTGCTTATGAGAAGCCGTCCCATAATTAGCTGGATCAATACGGAGGAAACGGAGTTCTGGCAGCCCACCCAAGGCTCTCAGACCTGCCTCGTCCATATGACCCACATGCAACCACAAGTAGGAAAGGTTGGGGAGAAGCCTGGGATCTATGAATGATGGCACACAAGGGAACCTGATGCCTTGTATACGCAGATGCCTGAGATGTTCCGAAAGCACAACTTTGTCCCACTCTGTTGAGGCAGGGCTACTTTCACGGAACTGAAAAACATGCAGATGCAGATGCTCGAGCTCCTGTAGATTGCCTAGTGACTTCAAAAGTTCTGCCTGCACGCTCTCATCCAGCCTGCCTATGCCAATCACACGGAGCACCCTCAGTAGGCTCTGGTTGCCCAGCTCCTTCAAAAATTGCCTCTTGGGCTCAAAAGACAGCATGCGAACACTTATCTGTAGCTCCTCCAGTGACGTCACCTTCTGGAGGAACCCATCGGGCACCTTCGTGCATTCGTCACATCTTATGCACACCAACCGTGTTAGCAGGCTAACGCTCGATGGCAGTTGGACTTGCATACCATATCCTCCTATACCTTCCAAGTCCAGTGTCTGTAGAAGCTTTAGAGCTCCTATCGCCTCGGGGAGTTCTTCGACATCTGTACCTCGTAGCCCTAGGTACCTCAGATGAACTAGTTTCCCAAGATGCTCAAGCCAGCGCCTGCCATACTGATGTGAGGTGCACCTCTCTAAAGCTAGCACACGTAAGAGTTTAATGCTCGGATGCAATACCAAACCACGGATATCACACCCAAGGGCAACCAGTGACCTCAGTTGTGTCATGTCCCTATGACTGTCAGGATGAGATTGATCCAGCAATATCCTGTTCTGGTGTGCTATCCGGCGCACCTTGTGTCGTGATGATGTTCCTCCATCCTCATTTGAGATAGTGATGAAGTTTTCCTCTCCTGCCAGGTCACGAATAAGATCAAGGACCATGTCATGAACACGGCAGTGATGTATGATGCCGTCCAATACTGATTCCGTCCCTTGGATCATGTTTCTGTTTATGAGCTGATGGAAGTATTCCTCTCCCCGCTGAAACAGGCTTGTTCCTGTTTTCTTCTCTATAAAGCCTTCTGCTACCCATTTCCATATCAAAGAATCTTTCTCGATCTGATTGTCTTCGGGATACACACTTAGGTACAGTAAGCAGGTCTTTAGATGAGAAGGCAGATCATAGTAGCTAAGGGACAATATCCACACAGTATCATCTACTTGCTTGTTCTCTCTGCCACAATAGAAACCACGAGAGCTGTAGACCTCAAACCAATCCTCTCTTGATTTGCCCACCAACAAGCTAGCCATTGTGATGATAGCTAATGGCACACCGCCACATTTGTCCAGAATTTTTTGGGATGCCTCTTCAGGATGATGAGCAGGACATTTGTCTTCACCGCCATATAGCCTCATATAAAAGAGCTTCTTTGAGTTATCATGTGAAAGAGGGCCAAGCTGGTAAACTTCATCGCCACAGGCTACTTCAAGATTTCGAGTAGTTTTGACTACTCTACTTCCGTTATTGTTCCGATGCAAAGCTGATCCTATTGGTTGCCAGGAATTTATGTCCCATACGTCATCAATAACGATGAAATACCTACCAAAAAGACAATACAAATGAATAGGCAGAGTTAGTAAACCTTGGAGCATCTATCGTCTATACTATACTATACTGTACAAAGGAGAAGAAGAGCGGCACTACATCGGTACTATACGAGTATTGAATATGGGTGATGTCTCACTTTTATTTAGTCTTTGAAAATTACATACTAGTGGTACTTTATAGATTTTTAGACAAAGGATGAAAATCCGGATTCCTCTACTCAAGGTAGAATTTGACAGTGGTACTTTATAACTTTGTATTATCAAATATAAATTGCCTAGCAAAAAAGGAGCATTGTGCCACAACTGCAGCTTTGATTCATAATGAAAAAAACAAACATCTTAGATTTGTTTATCAAATATAAGTTCCCTAGCAAGAAGAAGTATTAATTGTACCACAACTGCATCATCGATACATAATGAGAAAGAAACATCTTCAAATTAAATGGTAAACGTATGTATGCTCCCCAATAGTATGAACACAGCACAAGCAGTGTAGCAGATATACATACATACATACATACATACATATATATATATATATATAATCATAAATTGAAACAGAGAAACTATAGGTAATCTTGTGACAACTGATTAATGCATACCTCTTGTTTTCAAGGAATTTTCGGAGGTTCGCCAATGAGCAGTTGTAGGTCCTTTACATCACGAATGGCCTGGTACATATTTTGGTCGAGACCAAAGAAGATGCTGGTGAAGACTTGCACCAGGTCAGGATTGCGGCCAACCGAAACAAAGGCTCGACAGTCATATCCCGTACTCAGCTTGTCGTAAACCGCCTTGGCAAGAGTGGTCTTGCCCAGACCACCAGCTCCGACCACAGAAACTATCTTGGTCCGGTTGCTGCTGCTGGAGGTGCCAGCATCTCCATGGCCGTTGGTCGATGACTGAAGCATGGCTATGAGCTCCGCCCTCGTCCTCTCGATGCCGATAATCTGTGCTGCCTCTTTGTGCATGTCCACAAGGCGAGGATCCAGTTTGGTGGCCGGCGCAGCCACTGCAACGGGTATGGAGTACCTGTCGCGGCGGTACGACACCTCCTGGAGTCGTTTCTTCATGTCCTCGATTGCGCCAGCGATGTCGTGGCGCGCCTTGCTCGTCTTCAACAGCTTGTCCATCTTCTCCTTGAGACTTTTAGTCTCAGCAGGGGCGGCCTTGCTCGTCCTCAACAGCCTGGCCATCCTCTTCTTGTGACGTTTAAGCAAGCCTTTCTTGCTTTTAGTCTCAGCAGGGTCGGCCCCCTCCACGACATCGACGAGGAAGGCATCGAGGATGTCCTCCATGTCGTAGGACGCCTCTCTGACCTCGCGAGCCCAGAGCCGGACCTGTGGACCCAGCTGCTCCGGCGGCGTTTCACCCAAGTTGCGGAGAGCCGTGTGCGCACTCTCGAGCTCATTTTTCAGATACTCGATTTGCTCCGGCAGGCCCTTCTGCAGCTTGTACTCCCCGTGCAGGAGCTCGCCGAGCTTGGTGACGATGCTGCCCACTGCCCCGGCCACAAGATCCATGTCGACGGCAGGATTGAAAATTGGTGACGTTGAAGACCAAGAGAGATTCCGCACATGCGGAAGCTAGGGGAACAAGCTCGGTGGCGGCGTTGGATTTCGGAACTCGGCAGTGGAGGATATCGGAGCTCGCGTGAGGAGCTGCCCGGCAGTGGAGGATCTCTGAGCTCACGCGGGGAGGAGGAGCCCGGCAGCGGAGCACGAAGCGTGGAGTCGGCGACGCGTGGGGAGGAGTCCAGCCTCCAGCGGCCGCGCGCGGGGAAGGAGCTCCGCAGCGGCGGTGGATCTCGGACGCAACAATGCGCGGGAAGAGGAGCCCGGAGACAGTGGACGATCTCGGTGGCAGCGGCGCCCGGGAGGAGAAGCCCAGCGGCGGCGCCAGTGCCTCTCAAGCGAGCGGAGGGGCGAGCGTTAGCGAGAGGAGTATCTTTGTGTCTTCTAATTGGCGTCTTTGTGTCTATAATACTCACTGTTGAGTGCATCTTTGTGTCTGCTAATTGGCATCTTTAATGAACTAGGCATATGTGTAATAATACTCAACTTCAATTTGGCACTATTAAATTGTAAAGCATCTTCGTTTTAAATGTACGTATTTTCTCTAAAGAATTAAATGTACGTATTATTATCTTGCAAAGTTTTTCTTAGAGTCTTAGAAATCACCAAGGCAGGGCTTGCTTGTCTCTCGCTGATAATAACGCATTCACTGGCAGCTGGCACTGCAACGTTTCTGATGTGATGGATATGATCATGTGCGCGCATCGATCGGCGCATACAATACAAGCAACGTTAACGTGCTTCACTGGGTAGTCGTCATCGTTTCCAGTGTACCAAGCCATGTGGTCGAGTTTTGTAGTTTACGCTTCACGAGTGTGGACGGGCCGGCAACACGCACACATCTCTACGTATTGCCGTTGTGTTTATTATTAGCAGTGTACCAACGTTCCATAGGTAAGGTTAAACTATTCGGAAAGAAAAGGATTATACAATATAAATTATTGTGACCCCATGTTCATCCCAACAGATTCGTTTCCCTACCAATTGTCGTCATTCAAATAAACTAGCTACTTTGGACGAACATGATTGCACGCCGGTAAAGCTATCGATTCCCGTACATAACATAATTAACCTTTTTGTACCAGTATATATATATGTGCCTGTGGTATGTTATTTTTAATGTGGGGTTTCAGTCCGGCTGAGATATCTAAACCAAAACAACGCATCTACTACGGCCGTATTGTCCAGGACATGTTTGGGTGTTGTGCTGAGCCAGCTGGGCTGTTTTGGTTTGGGCCGGCTGGGTCTTCTGAAAAAAAGGTGTTCTGTGGGATGCGTCTTCCGTGTAAAGGCGGGTTTGCGTACACATAAATAGTTATTAGCAGGGCTAAAAAGTTCCAAATTAGCTATGCTTTGCTACCTAGTTGGCTAGCAACTACTTAAAGACGCGCTAGAGCTAATCCTACTATTACTAATTAAAGGCTCTAATGGAGCCTCCACGTTAATTCTTACTAGACATGATTTGTAGGGCCGGCTCCTGGCTATTTCTATGTGTCGGATTGCTTTGCTCCAGCAATATCCAGCAACGTGATCGTGTAGACGGAATCACATGGTAGCACACGAGACACAGAGATTTATACTGGTTCGGGGCGCGGTGCGCGCTAATCCCTACTCCAGTGGTGTGGCTGCTCTTGTATTCGTATGCTCATTTACAGAGGCTGTTACTCCTAGCGACGATGTAGATGGAATAGGTGGAAGATGGATCCCATGCCCGAGGTCCCTACCCTCCTTTATTTAGGCAGGAGAGGTAGGCTTACAGAGAGGGCGATCGGGATAACAGATTGTGTTCCTAGTTTGTTAGAACAGATTGATCCTAGCTATCATCCAAAGAGGGTGATTGTGCATTGGTTTGCCTTGATCTCCACGTTGGTTAATAGCATCAGCCCTTACGGGCCTCCCCCTTGACGGTTTGCTGGACTGAAAGCTTGGTGGTGGTCATATATACGGGCGGTGCAGGTACCCTTGGCCCATATCTCTGACAGTAGCCCCCGTAGGACTTAACGATAAGCTAGCACATATCTTCAAGCCCTCGGAACATCGTAGTCTCCCCTGTAAGTTCTGCGTACTGTGAGTACATAGTGAGCATCTTCGGTTGCCGAAGTTTCAAGCAGTGCAGCTAGATATTCCCAAGTATTGGGGAGCCAGTATGTTGCCGGTCGAGTACCAAGAGCATTTCTCGGGTAGTGAGAATCTTCTTCAAGTATTGAGTGAGGCGGTGGTACACCGTACAACAAGGAACGTCGTTCCATGGCAGCTGTAAGTGCCAGGCTCGAGTGGTGCACCACATATCGGGAAACATAGTTTCCTGGATGTGGCCCTTGGGCCGTTGTTAACGTCGCGTTCATGTGGTGTACCCAATAACCAGAAGCGTAGCCTCTAGGACATCGTAGATGCCATGCTAGGGTAAAAATACCGTTGTACTCGAGAAGTAGGTTCCGATGTATTCCGACGTGTAATTAGTGGTTGCGCATCATTAAGTCCTAGCTGTAAAACAATAAAGAGGATGGGATAGGTGCACCACCATCGCCCGCGCATCACTAAGCCAGTTGATTTTTAGGGTGACCTATTGCAGGTTGTTTGTTAACGAGCACTAAGGGCGCCACGTTTTTCTTCAAGATCCGTCAAGTAACATGATTCGAATTTTCGTGAGCCTAATTAGTGGAAGAGCGAGGACGTTTTCTCGAAGCCCTAAGGCCAATATAACAGTGTCCTGGGCCGAGCACCACTGTGGGCGAGTAACGAATGCGTGAGCAACTGTTGGCAGTTGCGCTTATTACTTTTTGAGCTGGTAACGGGTAGAACGAGAAGAACGTCCACTATAACTGAAAGGAAGCAGCAGGACAAAGCCTCACCAGTGGGGGCACATCATAAAACTCTTTTTCCAGATTCCAGGAGCTCGTACTTTGGTTACAGCCATGGGCCAACCAGTTTTTCAGTTTCCCACAAAGGGGCACACGTCCGCTGAAATAGGGTACTTCGAGCTCTTCTGGGTATTGAGGGATTGACGTGACACTAAGTGCCAGAGGTTTTAGGATCATACTGGTGACCCCCAGATACCTCCCTGGCTCTAGTAGGGGCAGGGTCGATAGTGAACGAGTCACTACCACTTACACCTGTTGTATGGGTGAGCCGGGCCAAGTACCCGATCTGAGTGTTAGATCACTCGCCTACACCGGCTCGGATGAGGGTATATTGAGAACGGACCGCTGGGATCCATGGGTGAGTTTGCTTACCGGGAGCTAGAGCGTCAGTGTTTGTGGCTCATTTTCCCACGCACAAGAGTGCATGCTTGGGATGCCATCCGTGGGCCGGTTCCTGCTTATATAAAGAAGGGGGAGGCATAAATAGGCATAATTTTATCTACGCACTGTTGAGCTTACCTCCCTTTCTTTAATTCTTTGTCTTCTTTCGCCTCTATCCCCTTAGATCCGATCTAATGGAGGGTGTGGGGAGCTCGAGGGCGGGGGTTTCCAGATAGGCGGCGGGTGAGCGCTATCCGCCCATCCGTCCTGCTTTTGTCGGGTAAGTTCTTGAACCGACCCGAATTGGGTGAAACTTGGGGCTTTGAACTTCTTCTCACTGGGTGTTCTTCTAGGCTTTCTGTGCTTGACGGCGCGAGTCCTCCCGAATAGCCGGGCGCTACTGCGGCGGTGGAAGCCGTAGCTCCGCCGGCAGTCGTGATGGCCGGTGATGAAGTGAGCCATCTCCGAGCGCAGTTGGAGGCCATACAAGAAGTGACGGCTAGGTCAGAGCAGGAGGCGGCCACCGCCATGGCGTCTCGCGTCGAAGCCCAGGCGCAACTTCTTGGTAAGTTCCTGGTGAGATTCCCTATTCACCCTTCTAAAGATGTCTTGTCTTGATGAGTGGTTGCTCTGATTATGCTTCCCAGTCGCCCGAGAGCAACTGGGCACTACCCAAGGCAAGCTGGCGAGGCTTGACAATGCCAATGCCATTCTAACCGAGCAGGTGACAGAGGCGAAGCGTGACCGTGATGATGCTACGGTTGACGCATCCGCCGTGATAGTCAAGGCGGGTCAATATCGGGACTGCCATGCTGCCTTGCTAGAAGCGTGTGGTGGTGTTATTGACGTGCTCTCGTCGGCAGGGGTGAGCATAGAGGAGCACCTCGTCAATGTCTCGAGGCGGTTTACCGAAGTGATTCGGCACGCGGTTCATCGTCGGGCCGCGTTGGCATTGGTGGCCGCTCCACTCTGGAGTAGCCAGGACCTTCATGACATGGCGATCAGGTTTCCATCGGTGGAAGAACCAGACGATGTCGGTGCGCTAGCCATGGAGTTCTAGGGCACGACAGGTGCCATTGCTGAATCTGAGAGAGTAGTGGATGTAATCCGCCTCTGCACCTCATAATGTGTAAATTGCATTAGCCTTAGAATAAAGACTTTTTGCACTTTATGTTTTGTGTTTTCCTGAGTAATGGCTTCATGACTTCGTGTGGTGTTGATTGTAGCCCCGGGGTCACCATAATAGGTTAGCATAACGTATCGCGGTGATTCATTGGAGACCCTGACATGGCTTGCCCGAATGCGGTATGTTTTCATAAACTTTTTGATCGTGTAGCCCCAGAGTGCCTCGGCAGGTCAGTGTGATCTGCTAGGGTGGTTTGTTTAGGCCCTAGGGCATACTAATTGTCTTTTTGATGGAGTCTACTATATTTATTGCGGGTTGGTGGTAACACCACCTGTAAATTAGGCCCTAGTATAGGGCTGCTTTCTTATGCGTAGAACCATCGTAACACGTCAATGTTCCAGGCATTTGTGTAGACTTCACCTTTCATGTTTGCCAGATTGTATGTTCCTGACTTTGGCACTTCGGCCATGAAAAACGGTCCTTCCCAAGGAGGTGAAAACTTGTTTTTCCCCTTGGTCGTTTGCACCCGACGTAGAACTAGATCGCCTTGCATGAAGTTTAGTGTGCGAACGTGCTTGTTA